ATGGGTTTTAATTTTATACTTCTAACACTACTAATAATAATTCAAATTCAAAGCTTGAAGGAACAATAAACAATAAAGTAATTTAAAAATTAGGATGATTAATGTAAACTCTGCTATCACTTCCATAAATGTTTAATATCAACTTGAAATAGTCTATTAGTTTATATATAGGTGGAATAACAAAGAATTATTGTATCTGTAGTTAAAAGTTATCCATTACTCTTCAATTAAACTAAAGTGATACTAAGATTAATGCAAAATATAGCGTTATCTTCGTATTGAGCACTTTGCACTAAAAATTAATGCCATTCAAATTCTTTTAATGCCTTTTACATTTTCTCTGAAAATGTAGACTTAAATTATTATAATTCTGATGTATCTACAAAAAAACTTTAATTCCAAGTTTGAATTTGGTAATCTAATTTATTTGTTATCTTCACTAACATGTTGTATTTTTTCTTAACCAATTAAGTTCCCTCATAAAAGCATTTCTAAATTAAACTCAAAATCAAATACTTAATATATACTCTGTTATTCAATATTTCAACATTTTTATTCATTTTAACATGGAAGTTGTAGTTCACTATTTACTTATTAAGCAAGGATTAGTTTGGAAGTTATTTTGATACCTTTTCGATTTAACTTAAGAGTAGGACAGAGGATTAATGTTGAAGGTGAAAATGTAGACTGAGATTTTTCTGATTACAAAATGAGAGCGAATATATTATGAAGATATTCATCCTACCAATGAAACTGTGCTAAATTCATTATTAATTTTTAAGAATAATTACGAGAATGAAAAAGGAACTAAATTGAAGACTACAAAATATGTAGAAATAGTAAATTAAAGAAGATGTTGCAGAACGCTTTCAAATGGTCCACTTAAACATGGTTAAATATGCACAGCAACTTAAAGATAAAACTAAGAATAATAATAGTATAAGTTATCGAAATCTAGTCGAACATAGATTTAACAGGAAAAATTTGCATCGAACTAGAGAGCCGTGAAAATTGGTCATTAATTGAAGGGATAAAAAAGTTAGCCAAATTTCGACAAAGACTTCTACAACGATAGCAGTCTAAATATATAAATACCGCTCTTGCTCTCATATTATTAGCGACTATCCTAATTTGATTTTTTCTCCGCCGTATACTTAAGAACTTTTGGTGACCGCGGTTTCTAAAAATTATTCTTTCTTTGGCTTGATATTCCTATTTCACTTAAAAATTCAAAAATATCTTTGCAGATTCTAAAGTTAGTTTTTCTCTTCTTATTTTACCTCCTAAAAATCTCTACAAGGTCCTGAGATTTTAGTTATAATGAAATTTATTCTTAGTTTTCAGATTACAGAGGGTTTAATAGAGCAATTAATTTCGCAAATATAGCATCCTACACCATAAGTACTATTCCTGTAATATTTAACTTTATACCTTATGTTTCATTATATAGGATAAGGATTAATTTGTGCCTTATGGAGCGTTTAATTTAAGACTGTACATTTTGTTTATGAGACTTTCTTTTCTTCTTGATTATTTTTAAATAATAATTTCTCTCCTTCTTATTTTATCAGTGTCTTGTTTCGTGAATGCATTAATTATCTTTTTATGTCTGTTAATCATTCTAATCTAAAAGGGTTTATTAAGTAATTTTGTTTGGCTAATCTTATTTAAAACCAGTGGAGTAAATTAAAAGTTTATTAATTTTTATTTTAGTTTATGTTTACAAGGGCATACGATATCCTGATTACATTGTCACTTATTACTCGATCAGTTTTATGCCTCTTTAAGGTAAATCTAAAAACTAATTTTTAAGTTTTTCTTATAGTGAGCTCAGTAACTTCTCAAAATAGTTTTTCCAACTTCTTTGTTTTGATTTGCGTTGTAACAATCAAACTTTGCCTTTAATTCGGTGCACTTTAAATTACCATTTTTAATCTTAATTTCATATAACCTAAATTAACATAATTAGTACATTAATTAAATGAAATGAAATACAATGATAACCAAAAGAGCCCATAATAAAACCCTCTAACTATAATTCATTAAAATGTTAGAATTTCATTAAAAAAAAAATTTACTCTTACCTCACATGAAATAAATTCTATAAAATATTCTATAACATATCTCTTCAACAAAATATCGTATTTAATAAATAGAATTACAAAAATAAAAAATATGAATTGGTACAGTTTCAATATCATTATCAAAATCTTTTGCTGTACTTCCTTATTCTCATCATGATTATGATATCGTGTAAAATTGTAGATATTCAGATTACATTTTGGCTTTCAATCAGTAAATATTAATTTATTTTATTCATGAATCATTAATAAAAACTAATCACTTGAACACATGTTTTATATAAGGACATTTAATTTGAACTTTTTATTCTTAAACTTAAGTTAGATTTCTGAAGTAATAGGTGAATATATTTAATAAAACTATCTGAAGTACAATTCTTATTAGAATTTTTGCACTTTACTTAAAACGGTACAAATTTAATTACGTTAATAATATAACATTAATCTAGCTCTAAACAAAAACTTCTGGTTTCAAATACCAATCCTAATTATATTTCAATTAGTTTTTAAACTTAACGCATAATTTTTCATAATAGGACTCAAATCTGATTTAATCTGACTTCTTAATGTTGACCCCAAATCCAAACTCCCCAGCATTAGTTAAAATATATTATGTTATCGAGCCAACGCAATTTTTAAAGTGATTAAGGCAACATTATTAGCGTAACAAAACATGAAGTAGTTTTCAAGAGTAATTGAACATTCTAATCTTTCACCATCTATTCGTAACAATCTTGCTTAGTTTTAACAATTTAATTTCTCTATCACTGTATCAAAATAAATGCCAAACAGAAGCAAAGCAAAGAGCCTTAATATACCATTTTGAAAATAAATCCTTTTCTTTATGATCAAAAATGTATAATTGCTAATACACCAATTCAACTTCATATAATTCTTCTTCAGAAAGATACCTTTATATTTTCTTCCTTCTTGAGGAGTTTAAAACTATCTTACCTTCTAACTGTATAGTAATAGGTCCATAAGGTTGAATATTTTACTATTTTTATCTAGGTTAGTGAGAAAGTTTGTAATTAGGTATTTTCATAAATCTAGGTATAAAGTAAGCTTTAATAGTTCAGCATGACTATTAAAAAAAAACTCATACTGAAAGCAAATTGAAGATTATGCAATTCATTAAAATGTATCCTCAAAACTTAATTCTGATTCAACGTTTTTCGGTTCAACCAAATCATAAGGGATAGCCTTTTTATTCTTTGCTCAGTGACTAACTTAATCCTCCTTGAAACATATCATATTCTTAGGAGCATCCTTACGTGTATAATCATTCTATCTTCCTAGCATTCGATTCATAATGGGAGAATGTTTTTGCTTAAAAGTGACACATTCATGATCGAAACTATCATTTATAGGTTTTCTAGAGTGCAACAATGTATCATAAAATTATTTTGAAAACTTTAAAGAAATGTAATGCTTTAGAAGCAGGAGTAGAATTAGTAGCTGTGGGATGGTTAATTCAAGGTATGTATGGATAATTTATTTTTTTTATTATTGGCCTATGGAAAGGTCATTTCTGGCGTATCAAATTATAAATTTAGAGATTTTTAGTCTGAGAATCAATGGGCTTTCTTTTTATTCCATATTTCTACTTATGTTATTGTGAACCATTACATGGTAGATTTACATGTTTTAGTTCCTGTCTTATTGTGTCTTATAGCAAGCTTAATTATTTAAGTCATGTGTTAATTAAAATTGATAACTTCACTAACGGTGGAAGAAACAATTCTCAAGCCGTATTTCAATCAGTCTTGATTGTTGTATTAAAGTGAATATTTTAAAGAAGACTTTGAGATTATGAGTATTTCGGATTGTAGACTCGGTTTCCTCACAGTACCAATGTTTTTATAAACGCGGATCACAGTTTGGATACCCTATCTTTCTTTACTAAAGCATCAAGGATTATTTTCTTACCCAAGGACTCTTTTTTCTAAAAATTAAAATAAGAACAATACTATATTAAATAATATATGAGAAATGATGATTATTGCTATACTACTTTTGAAATCTCTTTTTGCTTTAAGAGTCAAAATATAAACGAAATTCTTTATATTATAAGGAGAACATTAGTAGTAGGCAAACATACCAAATAAACTTAAACTGTTTAAATAGATCAGAAATAAAATAATTACAGATTCTTTTTTTTGTGATAAATACCAAATATTTTGATTCCATTTAACCTCAATGATGTAATTAGGGAAGTGATCCAAAAAGAATATCATTATGATCTAATCCAATTTGAATTTAAATATAGTATGCAGCAAATGAAATTAATTCAAATTAATTTTGAAATTCATTATAAAATCGTGATCTCCATTAATAGGAATTGATTTAATATATTTTCAAAATTTCCTTCCTCTCAACAATTATAAATTACATTTTATAATAACCCACTGTTTTTTTCCAAAAATTCTATCCCTTATTTCAATGAATTTATACAATTTATTAATTTCTATTGATAGTGTGTTTGATAAATTTGAAAGAAAGAGTGATCCATGTTTTATATAAAGACTATTTTTTTAGTTCAGTTCATGAAATAATGATTAAGTATACCAAAAGTTTTTCAAGGCTCATGCTTTAAATTTTTCCTTATTAGAAATTATAGAGAATTCCTACATTGATAATCATGAATTATTTTTCATTATTCTATCTCTGCTTCCAAACATTTAGGTACTTACTTCCACCAAAAAAGATTTTCAAAATTTTCTTTTGCTAAATTAAATAATATTTTAAATTAAATAGGAATATATTAAGTGCTCAATGATAATTACAAAGATTTCTTTCAGAGAGCTACGATTTCATGATTTTAGCCCCTAATTTACTCAACTTAGCAGTATAAATTTGAAACAATACTTTGGAATATATATATAATTTTAATAATCTTAATAGAAATAAAAAATAATAATGTTATCTGAATTAGATAAGAAAATGTGTTCTAGACATAAATTAGAAATTTTGACAATAGATTTAAAGTAATCAACTGCTGAAGAGGATAAATATCTTTGTATCAAGTGTCTAATGGAGAAGATTGATATATAAAATATGGCTTTGGTTGAAGAGACTAAAACAATGATAAAACAAATGAAAAATGAACAATTGAGTTATAAACTCAAAGAATATTAAAGAAAAATTGAGAATTACAGGGAAATTCAATCCTAAGTGAAAGAATTGAAATTGTCTATTAATAATACTTTAGACAAAGTTTAATGTAATATAGATTAGAAAATAACTTAAATGGAAAATGAATTAGAGTAATCAGAATCAAAAATCTAAGTGTCTTCTTTTGAAGAAGATGTAACACTTTTATCAAAGAATTACAAAGGATCATTCAGTTTTGAATTACCTAAATAATTGGATANAACATTTTGGAGCAATAAAATAACATTTAATTATAAATTTCTTCTCAATAATACCAAATAAATTTAAACTGTCTAAATAGATCAGAAATAAAATAATTACAGATTCTTTTTTTTGTGATAAATACCCCAATATTTTGATTCCATTTAACCTTAATTATGTAATTAGGTAAGTGATCCAAAAAGAATATCAGATGCATTATGATCTTATCTAATTTAAATAAAATATAGTAGGCAGCAATGAAATTAATTCAAATAAATTTTGAAATTCATTATAAAATCGTGATCTCCATTAATAGGAATTGATTTAATATATTTTCAAAATTTCCTCCCTCCCAACAATTATAAATTACATTTTATAATAACACACTGTTTTTTTTTCCAAAAATTCTATCCCTTATTTCAATGAATTTATACAATTTATTAATTTCTATTGATAGTGTGTTTGATAAATTTGAAAGAAAGAGTGATCCATGTTTTATATAAAGACTATTTTTTTAGTTCAGTTCATGAAATAATGATTAAGTATACCAAAAGTTTTTCAAGGCTCATGCTTTAAATTTTTCCTTATTAGAAATTATAGAGAATTCCTACATTGATAATCATGAATTATTTTTCATTATTCTATCTCTGCTTCCAAACATTTAGGTACTTACTTCCACCAAAAAAGATTTTCAAAATTTTCTTTTGCTAAATTAAATAATATTTTAAATTAAATAGGAATATATTAAGTGCTCAATGATAATTACAAAGATTTCTTTCAGAGAGCTACGATTTCATGATTTTAGCCCCTAATTTACTCAACTTAGCAGTATAAATTTGAAACAATACTTTGGAATATATATATAATTTTAATAATCTTAATAGAAATAAAAAATAATAATGTTATCTGAATTAGATAAGAAAATGTGTTCTAGACATAAATTAGAAATTTTGACAATAGATTTAAAGTAATCAACTGCTGAAGAGGATAAATATCTTTGTATCAAGTGTCTAATGGAGAAGATTGATATATAAAATATGGCTTTGG